GAGGACAAATGAAGGGGTAATATGCAATTACAAATAAATTGATAAATTGGTTTCAGCTTCAGTTTTGTATCTCAGAGTTTTGTTATTTTCTCAGCATCTTCGCTTTCGAAGTTTCCCTTTGCAATCCTCAAAGTTACAATTGTCATTCTGGCACAAATCTCCCATGTGGGCGGGGATAGCAGTGGTTTGCTCTCATTGGCTGGTAGGATTTTGATTGGCAGCTCATTGGACTGGAAGTACAAGTATTTCCGGGGTTTGTTCACCTGTGATATTAAAGATTGTATATTTGTGAATGAAAGCACATTTATCGTTTGTAAAAAGACTGTTAGTTTAACCCTTTAGTAAACCTTGCTTTTTTTTAAGAAGTGTCATTTCCTGTCCTTTTTACCTGTAAAATCTTATTGTTATGATTAAATTAGAACAAGAAGCTCATCTAACAAAACATCCATTTATTTTACTTTCAGCTGGAATGATGTTTGTAATATAATAGATTCACTGGAAACAAGACATTTATTTAGCAACACACCAAACCCAAATCATGTATTTTACTTTTAACATGAATATCAACCAAAATGTGTCACATGACACTCAGATAAGAACTGTATTAGGTGTGGGTCCAGGGGGCGCCGGAACATCTCCAGGTGAATCTGGTTGTCAGGTGAGCTGGTGGGCGGAGCTTCCGGGGCGCCGGAACATCTCCAGATGAGTCTGGTTGTTAGGGTGAGGAGCTGGTGGGCGGAGCCCCCGGGAGTCTCCGGATAAGTATGGAACAGAAGAAAAGAAGAGTGGAGCGGAATTAGCGTAGCTTCTGTTCATTATATTAATACAATTTAATGTAAGATCGCAGTTATTCGAGGTGTTAAGTATAGGCCTTGCTGAAAAGATACGTCTTTAATCTACACTTAAACTGGGCGAGTGAGTCTGAGCCACGGACGCTGTCAGGGAGGCTATTCCAGAGTTTAGGGGCTAAATGTGAGAACGCTCTACCGCTTTTAGTGCTCTTTGCTATTCTAGGAACTACTAGAAGTCCAGAGTTTTGGGATCTTAAAGTGCGTGTGGGGTTGTACCGTGTTAGGAGGTTTGATAGATAACTGGGCGCTAATCCATTAAGGGGTTTATAAGTCAATAGCATTATTTTGTAATCAATGCGAAATTTGACGGGTAGCCAATGTAAAGACGATAAAACTGGGGTTATATGCTCATATTTTTTTGTTCTAGTTAGAACTCTAGCTGCTGCATTCTGTGCTAACTGTAACTTATTTATTAATGATACTGAACAATCGCCTAGTAATGCATTACAATAATCTAGTCTCGAGGTCATGAATGCATGGACGAGCTTCTCTGCATCAGATAACGATAACATGTTTCTAAGTTTTGAAATATTTCTGAGTTGAAAGAAGGCTGTTTTTATGGTATGACTGATGTGATTTTTAAAAGATAAGTCGCTGTCTAAGATAACTCCCAGGTCTCTTACTGTGGAACTAGCGGTTACAGTACATCCCTCTAAACTTTAATTTAAATGCTGGGTGTTCTGTGTGCTGTTGTTGGCGCCGATGAGCAAGATCTCTGTTTTATCGGGATTTAATAGGAGAAAGTTCTGAGTCATCCAAACTTTTAAGTCTTTAACACACTCGGTTAACCTCGCCAAGTGTGATGCTTCTCCCGGTTTTGAGGAGATGTACATCTGGGTATCATCGGCGTAGCAGTGGAAGCTAATTCCATGCTTTCTAATAATATTACCTATGGGAAACATGTATAATGTGAAAAGTGGGGTCCTAGAACAGAGCCTTGTGGAACCCCATGTTTTACTTGCATTAGAGTAGATTGTTCTCTATTTAAATCTACAAACTGGTAACGATCGGACAGATATGATTTAAACCATTTTAATGCTGATCCCTGAATGCCTATGAGATTTTGTAAGCGATCTAGTAGGAGGTCATGATCAATAGTGTCGAATGCAGCACTAAGATCTAATAAAACTAAGAGAGAGACGCAGCCTTGGTCTGAAGCTAAGAGAAGATCATTTGTGATCTTTACTAGTGCAGTTTCTGTGCTATGATGGGGCCTGAAACCTGACTGAAACTCTTCAAAGATATTGTTCTCTTTCAGGAAACTACATAACTGGGCAGACACAATCTTTTCTAAAATCTTAGACATAAAAGGAAGGTTTGAGATTGGTCTGTAGTTTGATAGTTTGTTTTGATCTAAATTTGGTTTCTTGATGAGAGGCTTGATAACTGCTAACTTGAAAGGTTTAGGGACATGACCGAGGGATAGCGAGGAGTTAATGATATTAAGAATAGGCTCTCCAGCTGCGTGTAACACGCCTTTTAGCAGTTTGGTTGGAATAGGATCTAACACACATGTTGTGGATTTGGTTTTATTCATAAGGCCGTACAGCTCTTCCTGTCCTATAATTGTAAAACACTGTAATTGTGACTGAGTAATTTCAGGTGAGACTGGAACACAGGATGCTGTCAGAGGTTGAACGTCAGAAATTGTGTTTCTTATATTTTCAATTTTTTCAGTGAAGAAGTTCATAAAGTCTTCACTACTGAACTGAGAAGGAATGCTCTTTACAGATAACGGATTTGTTGTGAGTGTAGCCACTGTGTTAAAAAGGAACCTGGGATTGTTCTGATTATTTTCTATCAGTTTGCTCAGGTGCTGAACCCTCGCAGCCTTTAGTGCCTGTCTGTAACTGAGCATACTGTCTCTGTATGCAAGTCTAAAACCATCTAATTTATTTTTTTCTCCATTTCCTCTCTAGAATACGGATTTCTCTCTTGAGGGCACGAGTATGGCTGTTATACCATGGTGCAGGTGTTATTTCTCTAACCTTTTTTAACCTGATGGGGGCGACAGTGTCTAATGTGCTAGTGACGGAGGTGCCTATCATGTTAGTTAATTCTTCTAGATCGTCCTGGGGGTCTATAAACAGTGGCCAGAGCGAGAGACAGTACGAGTTTTTTAGTCGCGTCTAAGAGAACCGTGTTCAAAACAAGCACTTCAAATGATTTGAACGTAAATCCTAATCTCTGATTAGCGTTAAGGACGGTGCTGTAAATAGTGGCTACTCCACCACCACGACCAGTCTGACGGGGCTCATGTTTATATAAATAACCTGATGGAGTCGACTCATTGAAACCAATGTATTCATTTGGTTTTATCCAGGTCTCTGTGAGACAGAGTGCATCAAGATTATTATCTGTGATTAACTCGTTGACTATGAGCACTTTGGGTGAAAGTGATCTAATGTTAAGAAGCCCAAACTTTAAGGTGTGTCTGTTCACATGCCTTGTTACAGTTTTAACTGTAATAAGATTATTCCTGGGTCTTGTAGTGTATTTGTTTCTTGATCTAACTATACGGGGGATCGACACGGTTTCTATGCTATTTGTAACTGTAACTATATGATTGTCTGTAGGGCAGCTAGCATCTATGATAGTATTGTATTTGCTTACTAGTCAGAAGTCATGCAGCATCCTCGACATGTTGTCTGATAGAGCTGCCACTCTGACTCGGCTGGGGTGCAGGCCATCTGGACGTAAGAACCTAGGACGCTCCCAGAAGAGATTCCAGTTGTTAATAAACAATAATTTTTGCTCTCGACACCATGATTGTAGCCTATCGTTCAAAGCAAACAATCTACTAAACTTTTCTGCTCCTCGCTTGTACGTGGGCAGCGGTCCAGAAACTGCAATCTTCGTTGTTGGTGATGTGCTGCGAACCGTCTCCACCAGAATCCTGAAATCACTTTGGAGGATCTCTGACTTCCTCAGCACGGTGTTGTTCGTTCCAGCGTGGAGAACAACAGCTCTGACGTTCTCGTTCAGGATCGCGGGAACCTGCGCTGCGATGTCAAGCACACGAGCACCGGGAAAACAGCGAGTGTGTGCCTTACCTTTTGCTACTTTAGGGCGGACATGCCGGACGATGGAATCCCCGAGAATGACAGTGTCGCGCTCCGTCTCGCGGAGGGGGGCAAAGCTGTTCTGCGTTGAGATCTCAAAGGGTGGTGGTGGTGATGTCCACGATCGTGGCTGAGCTCTTGTCTTTCGGAGTTGTTGCACCCAGGGTCCGTGGTGTTCCGGCATCTGAGTAAACGACACCACGTTGGGCCGTGTTCTTTGTGCATTGTGCCTAGGGAGGGAAACACGGGGAGTTGAAGTGGCGGGATTTGCTTCTACACTCACCTGAGCCCGGTGAGCGTCTACCCGGGATGTTTCCAACGCCGCCTTCCGCTCTCTCAGTTGGGCCTGCTTCACGAACAGGTCGCGGATTTGTTTTTCCACGGCCTCCAACTCCATCTTCACCATCTGCATTTCGCATGAGTCCTCACCTGAGCTCAGGGGTACACACACGATCGACTAGTCTCTTGAAACTTAAGAGAAATTCGAATCAACTGAAGTTATGCATCCAATCAGGTACATATGCAAATAAGAACGTTAACCCACGTTTTTGGAATATGCAGTGTGATATATTAATGAAGAACCAGGATTAACCGTTTAACCGGTTTAGTGTAAGCAGTGTAAACCCAGGATTCCCGGCATTAGGATTACTCTGGGTTAACAATTACAAGTGTGAAAAGCTCCGACAACAAGATGGAGAAAAAAAAAAACGATGATAGAAACGGATCGACTGAGATTGATTTGCCGACAGTAGGAGCGAGCAATGGTGATCTGTGTTTGAAGAAGTAAAGCTATATACAGAAAGGAATGATGCTGAGCTATCTCTGGGTATGCTGAAGCTGTAGGCGGTTCTCTCTCTCTCTCTCTCTCTCTCTCTCTCTCTCGAAGGGTATTGTGCTTCTGTCGCAAATCACCTTGAAATATAAATGCTTCCGAGAAAAATGGTTTGTTTTACTTTTGTGAATTTGTATTCATTTACTATAAACCACATTTCATCCGACATCACAACAGTCTTACGGTATAAGATGTGTTACATTTACATTACATTTACGCATGCTTTTATCCAAAGTGACTTACATTTTGAACAAATGATTCCCTGGGATATGAACCCACAACCTTTGCGTTGTTAGGGCAATGTTCTACCATCTGAACGACCTGTATTTTTGCTCCAGGAAAGAGATCCTTTGCACGTTTGAGAGAAAGGGAATCTTTTTCAAGCACTTTGGCTTTGATGGAGCATTTGAAGTATTTAACAGAGCAGGAATTACACGCTTTGACGGAAAAAACGTTTGCCTTATTGGACACATCTCTTCACACGGCTTCGTTAGTCTCTCGCTAATATGCAAATGAGGCTCAGTCATCATTAGTTATGCATCTTCAATTAGTGCTCACCGCTGCTTTCTTTCCCAGTGTCTAAGCCATTCCCTGTGATAGTCATGGTCTCTGTGTTTGACAGCTTTTGAGTGGGGTTGTGATGAGGTTTCCTCTCATGTGGTGAGGTAGCTTCTGCAGTGGCTTGTTTCGTGAAACAAAAAAGGATTTCATTAGAGAAATGATTGCCCTGGATCGTTTATAGAAGCCGTGGGTACTGAAAGATAAAAAGATCAGAAGCACACATCGATGCTAATTTTGATTCCGAGTGAGATTTTTACTGAGAAGTTTCTTTTCAATTAAAGCAGAAGTCCACGCACTTTTTACGATTGGACTGTAACAGAAACGCTAGGGGGTGACGTTAATGTAATTTAAATTGTATCACGTGCAGATGACAATGGTACCACAAAAAAAACATCTTTGAGATTCATGAAATGGGGGTTAGCAATTAGAGAATTGCTAATTTATAGAGAGAATTACAGATTTGTGATGATGTGAGACAGATGTAAGGTCTGTTGTGTAGAGAGGATCCAGAAGCTAGCGAGATGGTCACAAAGTTTTTTTATTTTAATCTCAAGCAGACACTCAACAAAAACCTGAACCAAAAAGATTTGAACCACCAAGACCTTTTAAACACTAGTCTTTATCTCGCAAAGGGAATGGAAGAACATGACACTAGACAGACAACAACAGGGCGCATAAACACACAGTTAAACCAACAAAAAAGTAATGAATGTATGTGTGAGAATAAAAGTCATATAAATATTTTTAATTTAACACATTTAAATGTTGTTCCTCAGATTAAGGCTGTGGGGTGGCTCCGCTGCACCTGGTGCGGTCTCCCTCCTTGTCCTCCTCTGGTCTCTTGCCCTTGCCCTTGTGTGGGTGGCGGTGTTCGTAATAACTAATAAATAACTACATAACTTCACTGCTTCAATCCAGAGGAGGAAACACCACACAAGGTGTTTACTCCCCTGGAGATAACAAAACTGTCCAACACAAATCACAAGCATCTACTCGTAACTGCGGCGGCTTTTGACCAGGACAGGACACGGTTAAAAAAAAAAAAGTACACATTGTTAATGTAATAAATGATAATAAAACAGAATAAAATGACCGCCAAATATGTAATATATACACAGATGTGAAACCTTACCTTGTGAGTGAAGTGAAGTGGTGAAGTGTTCGAGGAGGTGGTGGGGGTGGAGAACGGATGTTCAACCAACCACATGCATAGACAGTACATATATATACACGAACAGACTTGCCTCCTGATGAAGCATCTGTAAGATTTATGTTTTTTAATGGTGAATCATTGATCCCTGAAGGTTTAATATCTCTTCATTGCCAGTTCGGTCAATTGAAAAGGCTATAAAAGACCTTCTGTACCATTAACATTATGACTCGCTGGCATACTGCGGCATATGCAGCTTTCTTGGAGAAAAGAACAGGACCATTACTTCTTTCTACTGTGTTTGGCAGTTCTCTTCTTCTTCGGGGATCATTTGAGTATTTATACTTTGAAGTATGGTGAGCTATACAGAACATTAACATAAAAAGATGGCTGCCTTGTAACACTGGTGATGGTCTTCTTTGTTCTCAAAGGCAGCACCGTGGTTCAATGGTTGATGCTATCACAGCTAAATCCACCAATGATCTTCTGAGAGAAGTTGGCATGTTTGCTTGGGTGGGTTTCTTGCACGAGTCTCAGGTTGATTCATAAATCAACATTTCTCATAGGAAGGAGTGCATGAAGGAGCGAGTCTAATGAGTGTTCTTGGCCCCCCTTGGATGGGCTCCAACAGACACCAATGGACCTAATTAGCAATAAGCTCTCACATGGAAAGCAAATGGAAAGAAATATTCTCCATTTCAAGCCTATATTGTCGACATCTCTATTGATGGTTGTCTTGTTCACAAAGACATAGTTATTTATTATGTTTAGAATTATTACCAGAATATACAACAACATAGTTACACTTAAACTTTGTCACGTACACTATTACATGCAGTGAAATAGAGCCTCTCTGGCCACAGACATACATGAAAAACATTGCAGGATGGAGTAGGGTCAAAGAAAGTGGTGGGACCGCTGCAGTCAGCAGCCGACATTTTCCTGCTGCCATTAACTAAGCTGTACTCATGGCCTGTTCAGATTACAGCGGTTGAGAGAAGCTGTTTTGAGAGAGAGCGAGGAATGCAGAGAGTCTTCTTATCACGCCCTCGCAGGGGATATTTGGAGAGCAGGATAGTGAGAGTCTCTCGCAGACAAACACAGCGGTGTACCAGCGGGTAAAAACAATGATAAGGGAGAGGAGAAAGAAGCGATTGCCTCCGCCGAGAGCAAGAGAAAAATGGACTCTCTTGGTTCAAAATCATTGAACCTTTTTTTCATCAGAATCAAAATCATTGAACCTTTTTTTAGAAATTTTTCAGCTTTTTACTTAAAAATGTAACAATTCGGACCCCTCGCTTAACCCTTGTGCATTCTCCAAATTCACTATGATTTTGTGTTGATCGTGGCTGATTAATAGGCGCTAATTTAACCTTCTGTTTTCGTTTGTTTTCCACAAATCTCTTTATCTGCCTCAGCTCTAACCAAAACTACAATTTTTTCATCTTGATGATGGGAAGTTCAAATTTTCCCTCTTCTTAACAGGAATGACCAGCAACAATCCAGAATGCAGGATTATTTGGTGTCATGGGACTGTAATCAAAAACGTCAATGGGGCAGAAACAATAAATGATGGAGTAAAAAATTTAAATCTGGTGCCGCTCTCAAAAAAAAACTATCCATCCAAACGCCAATGTTACTAATGTTTGACTTATACAAAACTGTGATAAAAGGTAAAAAAAAGCCACAATAATTTCTCAAATTGAAAACAGAATTTTTTTTCTCCTGAAATCAGTGACATCATATAAGATCTTGGCAATTAAAGGGTCAAAATCCTGGATAAAAAATAGCTGATGACGAGATTCATGCAAAAAAATATTTCAGAGAAAAATATTAATGTTAAATATTATGTTACATTTACCCAGAGTGCATTTTTCAGTTGCCCAACAACATGTGAGAGTTTAATGTAATGATTTATTTTAATTTGTAGCTTTATTATATTTTCTGTCTATTAGCATCATCCTTTTTTGGCCCTTAAAGAAGAGCCCATGGCTCGTTGTTGGGCTTTGATAATGAGATAAACAGTCATGGAGAAGCGCTCAGGCCTGTCCACACCTCTTAGTGTAAACGCCTTTCACATAAAAGACTTGGGATCCTTTAAGAATGAAGGATGTTCCTTTAAGACATCACTTTGTGGCAAACTTTCGATCTTGTCACATCTAGAGAAAGGCCATGGCTCTGATAGGAGGTGTGTGTGATGTGCTGTCGTAAATAATGAATGTTTCCATGAGACAGATATGTGATATCCCCCGCCCTCTGTCTGCTAGAGCTATGAAGAACACAACTCTTTTGGTTCTACAATCTAGTTTTCTTGTCCTCGCTGTGTTTTATAACCTTTGCAATTCAAAATTTCAAATACTCTGGAGATTGCAATTATGCATTTGCCCAGATAAATAACGGCGTTTCCTAGATTTCACTTTATTGTACTAAATCAAACATCAAGACACATTTACAAAACAAATTCACTGCAACCTAAAACAATTACATAAACCATTGCAGCAAGGTGGACATGAGGTTTCTTAGCAGCCGGTTGTTGCTTTCTCACCTGCCTAAACGGACTGGACTAAAAAGGAAAGCGAACTCTGAATCGAGTTGGGTGTGAAAGCACCCTCAGTCAAGCGGGGTGCCTAGCACTTGAAATTCCACAGCCTAGGGACATTAAAGCAGCTATAAATGGACGTGTGTTTTAAACCTATGACGCTCTATTTTAGACTTCCATGTTACCTTTTTGAATGTTATGTTGGTTTATAAAAAAATAACCATTTAAAAGAAATTAGAACACAGTCTATTTAAAAATTCTATACACAAGATTTTAAGGCTTTGAGTGAGAACAAACCAGAGGCATCTTCTGACCAAGTTTTAAATTCCCTTGCAAAGATACCGGAAGTGTGCATATCTGCTGTACACAAATAAAATTGTGTTGTTTTTAAGTGTAATTATAAATACAAGTATAAAAGAATGTAATCGGCAAATGCAAGATGCTTACAGCAGTGATTATTTGAATAATTCACAAGTGTACAGCATTGTACAAACTTTAGATAATTATATTTTAGTTGCATTATTCTGTATATTCAGTAGGATAATTAATATTTAATTGTAAAAATAAATATAATTAACTTTTGTGCAAATAATAAGAATGAAATTTCAACAGCTTTCACAGTGCAAAATAGTATGGTGCCCCTAAAGGGTCATGGCTCCGTAGCTTACAGCAGTGATTATGTGAATAATTCACGAATCTACAGCATTGTACAAACTATTATTTATTTTAGTTTCGTCAGACTGTATTCGTACTATGGAGCCCCTAAAGGGTCATGGCGGTGGGAGAAATTACACTATAGGGGCTCCTTAGGCTCTGTCGTTTTTTTCGACCAGCGTTATTTTTTCAAACCCTGATAGTTTTTTTTTTCTCTTACCACCATGACCCTTTGTAGTTATCTAGTAGTTATCTAATGTCATAACCATCGTCTCTTCTTCACACATTTGTTCTTTCTTGACTGCAGTTTTTCCCCAGCTCTCTCGCTCTGACAAACACGCCAACATTTCTAGCCCGGCTGAGCTTCTTTTGGCATTCTCTTTTACTTTATCCCTGTTCTCTCTTACCCGCTTAACAC